CAGGAATTGCCAATCTCTACTGAACTAAAGGTAAAAGGTAGCTGTTAACTTGAACATTACTGCTTCAAGACATCATAAGCTGGAACAGAGCATTTTGAGCTTTGGAGATGTAGGATAGACTAATAATAAAGGGTTACTCAGACATGTGTGAATGAAACAAAACACAACTCCAGGTATGTTAGATAAAGCAAGAGAGGTAGAGCACTTCACTGGGTCCTAAAATAGTAAAAAATTACAGTACAGGTGCTCTACGAGGGTTAAGACAGGGATGTGCTTTCATGTAATAAAGGACTTTTAATACACTCAGTCAGAGTGCCTCGGGTTTGTACCTTACCCATTTTTACATTTTTCTGTAAGCGTAATTTTCTGTTCTAAGACAACTCCAGGTATGTTTTTGATGATGTAACAACATTTTAACATGCCTTAAAGCTCACAACAGTCAGTTTTGTGTAATATAGGACCTTTAAATACACCGAACAGTTGTGCCCCTTACCCCGTCTCTCTTCTCAGCCCATCTCCATGCTGGCTGTTCACATAAATGTCAGAGCAAGGCCCAGTCTAGAAGGTCTGCGGCCTTTTGATTCCCACCAAATGTTGAGCGTTTGTCGTTTTGCCAAAGGAGCGCTGTGGTTGAAAGACTGAGAGAGCTTGATGTCTTAAGGAGGCTCCGGGAAGATGCAGTGCAAACATGAGAGAGGCGCTTAAGGCGGCTCTTGTCTTGTGTTCACAGTGCAGCACTTTCATAACATCCATTGTGATGAGAGACAGTGGGCTGGAGGAAGAGACTGCGTGTCTATGACTGCACAACTGACACTCTGAAGTAGTGTAAACGTGAGAAATTAGATATATGTTTATGGAACAATAGTTTTTTCCCTGAATGGAAAGAAATATGAAGCATGATTGTATGAGAAAGAAAGGAAAATCATTCAATAAGGTTTATTACCAGTATATATCATGCCTCTTCAATTCCTCTATAAACTATACCTAACATAACTACTGGTCTGGAAAACATTACATTTTGGAGAGAACCTTTAAAACAAATTGTGCTTCTGTTATTGTATACATAACAGTGAACAAAGTAAACTTAAAGGTGCACTATGTACATTTTTGGTTTGGGGTCTATCACCTGCTCTTTTCTATGGATATGTTATTGTTGTATTGCTCCGCCTGGAATATTCTATTTTATGTCAATTTACTAAATTACGGGTGGTTTTATAGCTGTAACTTCATCTGATTTGGGCTCCATGAAGACAAAAAGGTTGAATAATATATTGTGAAACATTCCAAATCAAGGTATTGCTTTGCTTTACATGTTTCACAAAAATGTTTTTGTCTCCATAAAGAAAAGCATTTGACAGACCCTCCACCAGAAAAGTTACATAATGCACCTTTAATGTCTAAGGCCACATTTGAGCAGGCTTTTTTTTAACACATTAGTTTGTATATACTCAGGGTAACTTTGTCTATAACAAAGTGAGGTACTAAAAATTTTAAATAAATAATTAAATAAATAAATAAAAAAAAGATTTTACTGAATACGTCTCTCACAATTCTCACTGCACTTCTTTAGCACTGTCTTGTGTTTTGCAATGTAATTCTCACCTTCCTAAATGTGTTTTGATTGGAGTTTTCTGATTTGAGTCCTGAGGATTGCTTCACTGAGTGGTTTGAGATGAAGGCTTGTATCCAGTGGGTCCCTTTACAGCAGAGATATAAACATTTTAATAAGCAGTTTGCCAAAGCAAGAGGAGGTAATTTCTCACCAGGGTCTCTGCTAAAACCTTTAACAACCGCTCATCAAAACAGCCAAACTATTATAAAATGTGAAGATGAGCTTCAGTCAGGGAACAGGTATTAAAAAAGAGGCAAATGTGATGAGAAAGCAATTGGCAAAACCTCAGGGAGCATGCATGCAGTAGCAATTAGCCTCAAAAGGTAAAAGAGAAAGTGTGTTTCCACATACTTCTCATGCTTTACTTTGAAAAGGATTGTGGGTAAAATCGCAGCAGGCATTATTGAAAATGATTGCCATTTCTTTTTAAAAAATAGGCTTTGGTTTCTGTCCTTTGCAGTGTTAAGGATCTAGAATAAGTGGAAGATTCACAAGTCTCATTCTGCTGTAGTTCCAATAACAGAATTGATGTATCAGTCTGTGTGAAAAAGGCCAAAAAAAAAAAAAAAAAGTTTAAACTCAGTCATATATATGAAAATGCTGTGCTATCTTCTCATATGGAACGTTCATACTTTGAACTGCTTTGAACCCAGTGTAGTCCCGAAGGACAAAACCTGACTTGGTCCTGTTCTAGTCCTAGTTTAGAATTATTTCTGAGTTTAGTCCCAGTTTATGTGCAAGAGTGAATGCAGCCTTACAGCATGTTCAGATTGTATTTCTCTTACCCTTATGCTGACCCATACTCCCAAAGCCTTTCCATGATATAAATAGCTCTTTTTATTTACCTTATGCATGCTCTTATTTTATTTGATCATATTTCTTTGTTTAATGTTGCACCATAACACCAAAACAAGTTCTTAGTTTGTACATTTTGTTCACTAACAAGACATCAATGGCAATGCATTGACTAACTGTTAAAACTGTATTTTACTTCGATTAATACATATACACATATCATATTTAGATCTTACATTTTATTGTTTTGAAAATGCTTTACTTGCCGGGAACAATGTATTAACATGTTTTATAAGTTTCACCTTTTTTGAAGCTCCATTTGGTCTGTGTCACTGTCCCTCCACAGCACTATCTCCACTCAGTCACATCAGGTTTGTCGAGTTGATGTGTATGCTTTTATATATTTATGGAGAAATGTCACGTGGGAGCATAGGTGATGTAGACTTGTGGGCTCAGCTTTGCACAGAATGTTTCAGCTAACTGAAAGTTTTTTTTAAGTTTGATTTATTATTATTATTTTTTTTAAGTTTGAATAGGGCCCGGGAGAGATCACTAAATGACTGAAACATGCATGGATGACATCTAAAACCTCTGCAGGCATGTTTTTGATGAGGTAGCATACTGGCCATACCAGCTTGTAAAAAGCCTGATCCTGTCAGATCTGAGAAGCTAAGCAGGCTGGGCCTGGGTAGTACTTGGATGGGAGACTGCTAGGAATTCCAGGTGCCACAGTGGGGCGCCAGTGGCAAAAAAAAAAAAACTGACGTTGTGTCCTTAGGCAAGACACTTCACCCACATTGCCCAGTATGAAAGTGGTGTGAGCGTGAGTGATGGTGGTGGTCAGAGGGGCTGATGGCGCAGATTTGCAGCCTTGCTTCTGTCAGTCTGCCCCAGGGCAGCTGTGGCTACAGTAGTAGCTTACCACCACTGAGTGTGGAGTGACTGTATAATGAACTGTAAAGCGCTTTGGGTATCTTGAAAGGTGCTATATAAATGCAATCAATCAATCAACATTATAAAATGGATGAAAGCTCAAAATCTGATTTTGTATAATACCCTCTCTTTAACACAATATTTTGTCCTCTTAAATTATAAGGTAATTGTGTAAAACGCAATGGAATACAAAATGGGTCTTTGCTCATATAAACCTAAAAAAAATGCATTAAACCCTACAAAATGTTGACAAATGAGTACGTAATATTCAGTAACAAAAGTGTCAGAAAAACATAATTTTCAGGGGATGATATGTCGAGATATTATATTTGTACAGATACATCCCCTATGACTGGATCATAATTACCACCCAGTAGATCACTGGTATATTGCTTGTGTATTACATAGAAGAATATATTGAATGTGTGCAGTACTGAAGAGAGAGACATTTAGGTACACAACCATAGTTTATTACATCTCATCACTTACACAGACAATAGACGTGTCAGCGATACCTAGGAAAGGGGAACAGCTCTGATTGGTTCAAGTTTTTGTCATTTTTCACTTGACGATCAGATGCTGCCTGTTTAATTTACACACTCCCTCTGCTCTGTGTTCCGCACTGAAGAGAAGTGACACAAAAACAAAACCTGGCACGAGCCAAAGGAAATGACAGAGTGGTTTAACAGCAGACACAAAACCGGGATCCTGTCCAACTTTGTGTGTCAGTGGCTGAGTTTGATCAGTTGTACAATCTTTGCTGTAAAGTATACGGTATATGTTTGAAAGAGCTCTCCACATACTGCAGATAAACAGATGAGGAAATACTTTTTAGTTTAGTTTAGTCTAGACATTATGGGAACAGTGGTTTGCATAAGTTGGCATAAAATAAAAATACCATGAAAAGTTAGATGTGAGCACCTAACAAAAGATTACCGTGAATCATCTAATTGCATAAAAGTCTTTAGCCATGATTGTGCTTCATGAAAATGCAGGCACTAACTTTTTCTGTTACCTGTATCTATTGGGTTTTAAGTTGTTTTTTTTGTTTTTTTTACTGTCCCCCATCAATCACATTGTTACTAAATAGAGTTTAATTGCTTTAACAAATTGCAAAAAAAAATTTGATCAGTATTTATATAGAGCATTGTGTTGGTTTTTGACTTTGTGCACCACAGAAAATAGACAGAATTGGTACTAGCCAGAATATGATTCCTTGAAAAATACAGTATGTACTCAGTAACTATGCTATCAACTACTTAAACAACTTTCTATAGCCTTGTATAAAATGATCAGTAATAATTTAGGTCCTACCATTTACATTTTTTCCTTGGGCACAGGGCTTTTGTCTTCTGTATAGTAAAAGAAACAGAATGGCTGAACGAGCTAGACTGAATTATAAAGAGACAAGCTGACCTATGATAAAGTCAAATTCCCAACCTGCTGTTCACTCTATAGAAACCTAATCTTTTAGAGGAAACCTTTCCAAAGGAGATGTAATTTCTCTTAAAATGTACAGAAAGGCAGAGTCCCCATTGTATTCCACTTCAAGCAGTAGATTGTGAGAAAATCCCCCATCCGGTATAAGGCTAAGTATGAGCAGTCAGACGTGCTGATTGGTCAGTTCTTTCAATAGCTGCTTTTCAGGTTCATGTCCAGAGGGTTGTTTGTCACGAAGCATTCATCATTATGTCCAAAATATTAGTTATGTTCCATAGAACTTGAGTCTCTATTTACAGAAAGGTCCACTGTATCACTTTCTTCTCTTGTGATGATCCAAGCAACAACACTTTACCTAAAAAAAATAAAAATAAACAGGTGTTAAAACAAGGTGAAAGCTATCAGTGTTTTGTTATATTTTTCTCAGCCATCTGGCAAGCTTTTCATGTTCATCTGGCAGCAATATTAAATTTGACTAATTTGTAACTAATTTAAACCAACATATTAATTATCCTAAAAGGGAAAATACAATTATCCATTGAGAGACCTGGTTTTCCTGTAAGCTGTATGTGCAGCTTTACTGTAGGTTCCACAACTGATAGTGCTACTTTTTCTTGTAATAAATGTAAAGAAAATTTAAGCAGCTAAATTATGCATCTAATTATCAAGCATTTTAAAAGTTGCAAACAAAGCAAGTCTGTGTTTGTAGTGATGATGTCATGTGGTAATACAGGAAGTGCTCCACTGTGTTTTAAACTCCATACACTTTCACTGCAATCATTTGGAGAATTTCAGCCTGGAAATGCCAATCTCTACTGAACTAAAAGTAAAAGGTAGTTTTTTTATTTGAAAACTACCGCTTCAAGACATTACATGATGGAACATAGCATTTTGAGTTTTCGAGATGTAGACAGACCCATAATAAAGGGTTACTCAAACATGTGTGAATTAAACAAAATACAACTCCATGTTGTTTTTGGTGAGGTAACGACATAATAACATGGCTTAAAGCTCACAAGGGTCAATTTTGCGTAATATAGGACCTTTATCAGAAATGTGTGTAAGGGGACATTTAAACTACTGTCTCATTTCAGATAAAAGTAGCTAATGCTAATTGAACCAGATTTTATATTTACTGACGCAAACCAAGGTGAATTAATTTAATTTACCTTTCTGAGGTAAAAACCTAGACTATAACTTAGATTATTGTATACATCTGAAATTATTCCTTCATTAAATTAAATTTAAGGCTGACTGAACAAATGCCTTCAAATGTAACCTTACAGTAACTCAAATGAACAAATAAAAAAATCCAGCTGCTCGCCCGCCCACAACTCCCAACCTGTCATAGTTGTTGGCAAAGTAACCACAAAAGCTGATGTATAATTCAAGCCTCTTTTTGTTTCCTCGGTTTGCTTCTTTTTGCTTAGTGCTCAAAAGTAACTAATTATGTTTGAAAGGAAAATATGAATAGAGGAATATAAAGCACTACTGGCGTCCCCAAGAGGTTACAAAGAAACAGAGAGCATGTTGGGAACTTCTCCTTGTGTGAGTGGTAACTTCTTGCAATACCTCCCCACAGAATACAATTGTAGAAATGCATTTTATCCTTTAACAGTGGTAATAATAACAGATCAAACACAAAACAGTGTCAATCTACGGTGGCATAAAATGATCTGTCCTTTGAATGTACAAAGCATAATAGTAATATTAAGTAAACATACAGTACAGTTGAACACCCTTAAAGGACCTGTATTACGCAAAACTGACTGTGTGAGCTTTAAGCCATGTTATAACATTGTTACTTCCTCAAAAGCATATCAGGAGTTGTGTTTTGTTTCGTTCACACATGTTTGAGTACGCCTTTATTATTAATCTGCATCTCCAAACTTCATAAAGCTCTGTTCCACCTTGTGACATCACGAAGTATAGTTTTTCAAGTTTACTCTTTATTCAGTGGAGATTGGCAATTCTAGGCCTGAAATATTCCAAATGAGTCTAGTGAAGGTGTATGGAGTTTAAAAACACAGTGGAGCACATCATGTTTTCCGTTTGAGAAAAAAACTTTTGTATGTTAAACCTATGTGAATGAAATAAAACACTAGCCTGATTCATTAGCCAGTTTCACTTCGTAGAAATCGTCTGACCTCGCAGTGTTAGAACTCGTTCGCTTCATGGTAAGCAGGTGTCATTTAACCAACAGCTACTATTTGGTCGTGACGTATGTAATGCGCCGCTAATGGGGCCAACTGATATATTAAGCTTTTCCCAAATCCCGTAGGAAGAAGGGCAATAACATCTTTCCCCTTGATGAAATTCACCAAACATTCTCTTTGTTCCGGCTTTAAATCCTCGATCTTGAGAATCGTTGACAACACTGAATATATCACTCTTCGCTGATTGGCTGGTGCCCGAACTTGCACTTCCTGGGGTTTTTGCAAACCGTCTATTGTATTTTGATTCCTGACCTAGTTGCTAGGGAGAAATGAAATTGAGTGGAGGCACTAGGTGGCACCAGCCTGGCTAATAAAACACAACTCTAGGTATGTTTTTGATGAGGAAACAACATTATTACATGGATCGGAAAATCGCACAGTGGGCTCTTTAAATAGTCTACTCTTTGTTCTTCACATTTGGCCCCTCATTTTCACTGGTCCAGGGTACATGTGCAAGTCACAAAACTTTGTCACTGTAACTGCCGCTCCTGTAACTACAACAACTACAGGCTATTACTGCTAATGTACCTGCTACAATGAACCAAGTCTGGAATGATCAATATACAATTTCCATACACTTGAAGCTGAACTATTACAGTGAAAGAATTCAATCCTGTGTATCTTCAAGGACCATGCAAACCCATTGTGTGTGGGAGTACAGATCTATCAGTGAGATTGGCATGCAGCTGGTTTGTCTGGTCCACTTGTGAGCTGTCAGACGGGGATCACCTCTTTTCTCCTTCAGCTTAAATTGCCTGTCATCTCTCCCAAGTGTTTGACTGCCAGACACTCCAAAAACGCTCGCCCCCAAAAGTACAATGTGCATGGGACTCGTTTATACTTTTATAACCATGTCCGCTATCGATTTCAACCATCTGTCACATCCCATTCAGTGTGGGGAAACCCTCTGCAAACTCATAAGACAACATTATCACTGGAAAACTTTGAAAAGAGAAGAGACAGTTGAGAAAAAACACGCAAATATAAATGCATGATATTGGCATTTGTTGTGTGAGGGTGTAAGCTCTGCTGCAGTGCACATTGTCATATAAATCATTCTCAATTATGCACCAAGCACATTCAAAGCAAAACACTCTCAAAACCATTAGGGGTAAGGCTTTACAAGAAAAAACAGGAAATTCGCACCAGCGTGGGCTAAACAGATTACATAAATTTAGCAGCGCAATAATTTTGAGCCTTTATAGAGTCATTTACTCTGGGAGCTGTCTGTGTGATTAATGAGGCACTAATGTGAGAATAATTCAACTTTGGAAAGACAAAGAGAGGAGCAGCTTCTTGTCAAAAGTGAAAAAAGTGATTTTGAGTTAAGAGGATGCTAGTAGTTCTTTAAAGGTGCATTATGTACAGTAACTTTTCTGGTGAGTGGTCCATCACCTGCTTCTCTCCACAGAGATTTTATTGTTTGGTCTGGAATGTCCCACAGTATAGCATTAAACTTATCTATGTAGCAGCTTAGATGTCTTTTGCTGCTCATTTCAAAAACACAAATTACTGTTAGTGTGGCTGCCAGTCCACAAACCTGTAATTTGGCTGCTTTTCTTCATGAACATGCAAGTTTAATATGGTACTGTGGAACATTTCAGGCAAAGTAATAACATATCCATGGAGACAAGCAGGTTTCACCAGAATAAGGTCCATAGTGCATAGTCCATAGTGCATAGTCCATAGCTTTTTAATTCACACCTGCCCCATAAGATAGAAAATTGGTTAAAGAAGGCTGGAACAAGGGTGTTGGCTAAATTGGATCCTGACAAGTGCTAATTTAACTGGGACTGGTTTCCATTCAGAGTGTGGAAGATTCTCGCAGCAGGTGCAGAGTTTGTGCTTGTGGAGCTGAGCCGTGTAATTGGCAAACCATGGGCTTTCTCTGTGCTGTGTTTTCAGTGTCTAAGTATGGTGTTCAGAGAGTGGTGGTGATGGTGTATTTTTAGAGGCAGCTGTAAAATTGCAAAAAAAAAAAAAGAAAAGAAAAGAAAAAAAAAGATTGCACTAATTTAGTTCCAATGAAATTATGAAAGTGTGAAAACATATGAGTTTGAGGATTATATTTTGCAAGTGTGAATTTAAAATTTGATTTTCTGTAAAAGGCAAAAGTGTTCAAGTGCTGTGGGGGAGGTTTGACTCTGGATATTTCAATGTGTTCCCTTGAGATACTGAAGTTGCAGTTGAACAAGTTATTAAGTACTCAGTTTTGTTACTTAAGTAAAAATGCAGATACAGAGGCAAAAAGTTACTCAACTGCATCACATTAAAAGATCTTAAGTAAAAGTATTACAGTACATGTTTAAAAGTGTACTTTAAAAGTAAAAAGTAAATGCATTTCACACAGATTCTGATTAAGGGTTGTTAATTTGTTAAAGTATTAAATGTAGTGATACTGATTGGAAATGATAAAGTCAACAGTGCCAAAATGAATCAATTTCTTAATTTTCTTATGAATTTTGTGTATTTATTTTTGTTTGCTGAAAGCCGAGGCTTGAACTCAAAAGCTTTAGTCAGGACATTACCACAAACATGGTAAAAATAACCCCTAAAATCAAATGAAAAGTACTTTTTGGTTTTCAGTCCAGTTAAAAAAATGTAGTGGAAAGTTTTGGTACCTACTCTTAAACAAATGGAAGTAGCAGTTTCCATTTTAAAATACAGATACCTAAAATTTTGAAACTACTGTTTGATTCAATGCCCAAATACAATGGCACATTACCATCAACAGGAGCAGTGTTCTAGGTTTTCAAAGAAGTAAATGTGCATCTCTTTTATTTTTAAGTTTACAGTGCTTCCTGTTTACTCAGTCGCCACAAGTTCAGTCATGCATTGGAACTGAAAATGAATAAAGCTGTCACTCACATGTTTGAATTAGACACTAATGGGCCATTTTACTTGAACAACACTGACAATGATAACCAGCAAATGAACAGATACCTGATATTATTCAATATGTCAGAAAATGTTGTCTCCAAGCTAACAGCAAAGTTTCTCAAAAACAGACTATGAATAAAAGTTATCTGATGTGACTAAAATGGTTTCATAAGAGGCACCATACAAGCGTCATGACATTATTACATTTGAGTTGAGTGGTTACATAAGCCGACACGCTGTTTGACTGTCAGACTGATCCCCAACCAGCCTTTTGTCCTGGTACATCACGTTTGACATATTCATTTGTTCATAGTATTAAGAATGAAATAAAGTTAGATTATCTTAAAATGCTGTATGCAAAAGGAAAGTGTGCATTTGATAACACAACTTAATTTTTAATGTAACTGTATCTTGTTGGACTTTTATGTGGTAAAATCATAGACCACTTTTCTGAGTTGAGATAGGATTTTAAAAGTTTTCCCCTATCAACTGTAGTGATATGTGTGCGAAAATAGTAACATATTTACACTTCTTTGGACTGTCTCATAAGTATTCAAATATGTTAATAAATTCAGAACAATGCTGTTCATCTTCTTCAAACCAAACAACTGCCTACCAAACTTCAATATTGGATGTGCTTATCTCTATAATAGGAGGCAAGATTGTAATGATATTTGGTAATATATAATAGCTTTTCACTGTTCATTTATTAAAAATAATCTGATTACCTGAAATCCACAGTGTAATCTCTGGCGTTACCATAGTTGGTCTCTGTCTGCAGAAATCTGTACCAACAAGAAGAAAAATGTTATTTGTAGCAACATGTTTAATCAAGGTCACAACAAAAATTAGTAATTAACACAAATCAATTGCCAGACATGATGCTGAAATGACTCAAAGGTAAAAAAAACAAAACAAGAAAAGATATATATACCACCATTTTGAGGTCCCGACTCGTCTCCAGATCAATAGCTTTGGCTCCAGAAAGGTGTGGTGCGGACAGTTTTAATAATTAAACACGCCCAAAGCAAGACTCAAGTCTACACCTCGTCATAACACACTAAAGACTACAGGGGCTCGCCTTACAATGTTAAAAGCAGGTAATTGGAGTGAGTAATTGGACGGTTTAGAGGCTCAAAGTGGCAACCCATTGATCAGTGCTCCCCGGGGCTCAGACACAGAGGAGGGCTGCTTTTGGAGGGAAGAGGGGCCAGTGACCTTGGGCAGACTCAGGTCTAAGTTCAGATCCACAGGTCAGAGCACTTACCACTTACTTAGTGTGTGTGTTTATCATCAGAGCACAAGAAATTTAAATGTGAGATGGAAATGTATTTTTTTTTCATTCACTATTTACTTATTTTATGATTACAATCATCCCTTGCTATATCGCGGTTCACCTTTTGCGGTCTCGCTGTTTTGCAGATTTTTTTGTGTGAAATTTTGCATGCTTTTTTTTTTTTTACAGCGTATGAATGCGTATTACGGGCGGGTAACACACGGGTGAGTCAGGACTAAACCAGGTTTAAACCAGGAGTAATCTTGAACTTAAGAGAGACAATCCCGAGCAGAGTGTCTGCAAAAGTGCTCTTACCTCCGTGAGGTGCGGAGCTCTCCGTTGGTCCTTTCTCCTGCGGCCACCTTCAAGCCCAGTGAGCCCAGACAGTGAGTCCTGTTTCAGTTCTGGTTTAGTCCTGGTTTACTCCTGTTTTAGTTCTACTTCAGTCCTGGTTTAGTCCTCCTCTTCAGTTCTGGAATCAGTCCTAGGTTAGTCCTGGGTTAGTCCTGGTTTAGTCTTGGTTCAGTCCGTGGTGTAGGCAGCGTAAAAGTTTGATATAATCTTAGGTTAACAGGTTGGTGCGGTGTTGTACTGCACGGGTGCGGTGTTGTACTGCGCGGGTGCGGTGTTGTACTGCACGGGTGCGGTGTTGTACTGCGCGGGTGCGGTGTTGTACTGCGCGGGTGCGGTGTTGTACTGCGCAGGTGCGGTGTTGTACTGCGCGGGTGTGGTGTTCTACTGCAGGTCTCCAAAAATGGACCCGTGAAGGACTCTGCTCTGTAGGGCTCCATTACGGAATAAATGAATCTTTGGTTCCTTACATAAAGAAGGAGGAAAATAACATAAAGATGACAGCAGCAATAAGTTTTAAGAAGGATGCAAAAAGGGTTGTAATTGTCCTGTGTGCAAAAAGTGTATAAAGAGTGTGGTGAGGAATTTTACAGACTTAAAGGTTGTATGGAGGATTTTTTTTTTTTTTCAAATTGTCATTGAAAGTTTAAATTACCATTACAGAGATGCAGCAGCCTTGTAATTATGACCAAAAAAAAAAAAAAGAATGAAAATCTATCAACTGTGGACATAGTGAGGCCAGATAAAGATCAGCCAATAGAAAACAAGGCTACCTCATTTTCTATTGGCTGTCAGGTTGTCAATCAAACTCCCTACGTTTCTAGTGTAACTGACTCGTCGGCGCGCGGGGATCACGTGGTTTATGCAGTGGTTCTTAGAGGCTTTTTCAAACTGTAGCTTCCTTGCAGTTTGCACAAAGTTTGTTGCGATGGAGGAAGAGAATCGACAACTAGTTCGCCGCAAAAGAAAGTCAGTTTTTGAAATCACTGAAAGAAGAAGCGAAGGGGAAAAGGAGCAATGCCAAACTGCGAACTGCGAAAACTTGCGCGAATGAAGCTGACGAAGGGTCTAAAAACTGACGCGTCAGTCGCTAAAATATTTCTAGACAGGTCACTTCAATGGTAATTCTGAAAGCGCACTGGATGTAAACATGCGTGATTTCTAGAGTAAAGAGGCGGGAGGGGATGTTTCTACTGAGGGAGCTGCTTAAAAAATCCTCTATACAACCTTTAAGACAGATATAATAATTGTAAAATATAAAGTTGATAACTTTGAGGATTTTTGGAACATAACCACCACGATAAACGAGGGACCACTGTATACTTAAGTTGATTTATTTAATATGTGAATTAAGATCATAGACTGCATCAAGAAATGGACTAAAGGAGTGTGATGTCACCCATAGCGTCCTCTCCAGTCAAATTAACCTCATGAGGACAGCAGTTATAAGGGGAAATTTGGAGCCGAGTTCCATTTTAGGAATAGGAATTTATTTTGTAAAATCAATGGAAAGAGCCAGAAGCGCTCCCATGGCCACTTCCTATTACACAGTAGCTAGCGAGATAGTTATGTCCATTTATGTATACAGTATATGGTTAAGATGTACTACAGGGTAATATCCTGACCCACAATTTCTTAAGTATATACTGTAAATTTAAATACTGTGAAAATGATGCTGCAGGATGACATCAGTATTTCTCAACAATGCTCATACTACTTTATTTTCCTTTCTTTATTCAGTTGCTCTATACCCAGCCCCACTGCAGCCTGTGGGCCATTCCCGTATAGGTGAGGCATACCTTGGTAGTTTTGATCTTGTTGCCTGTAGCGCAGCTCCAGCCCTTCAGATCAGGAAGCACTTTGCACTCCTCTCCATCAAGGCACGGATGCATCTGACACCACCACTTCTGTTCCACTATCGAGGCTGGACACACAACAAACAGATTCTGTTTCAAGAGCACAGATTTTCAGATCCACCCACTGTCATATCCTGGTCTTTACATTATATAATGAAGATGCATTATTTATTGTGTTGTTGCGCATGGGTTTGTCTTGCGATTCCAGACAAACTGAGAGCAATAATTGGATTGTGGGGTCATAGGTCAAACTGATTGTGTCCTTTGGGTGTTTGGACACTGAATTATCTGTTTCATTTTACACATGTGACCTCTGCTCTCACATGTCACAACCACAAGATCATTTCATAACCTTGTTTGTAATGTGGTCTCTTGCTGTTGCCAGAGACTTTGGTGATTATCATATCAAACAATTTTGTGTCACCGTGTATTTTAATTACTTATAAAACTTTTTGCAGTTGATGCTAACATTTGGAAAAGATAGAAAAAGAGGACATTTTTGATCGCGTGCTGTCATATTCCATTAGTTTATGAGTGAAATTATTATTTTTATGACCACAAAGGCTGAAAAATGGTAATTGACGGCTTTTAGACAGAATACTGCATAGAATAAAGTGTAGTATTGATGACATTCACAAATGGTTTATTCTATTTTGCTATTTTGATCTAATGATACCACTGACTTTGTTATTTATGATAATCAAAATACTATTACAGTTATTTTCATGGTGATCTAGTCAAAATTATTCTATTATCCAACAATTTAAACCTACATTTTCCCCACTCAGACAGAAACTCCAATTGGTCATCCTTAAGCTTTGAGTGTATATCATAGCAGACATGATTTGAATTTGGCATATTACAGAGGTCATTATGCTCGTTCCACATCCCCCTCCACTGTCATTAGGCTCATATCTAATGAACAGTATGGCCATTACATTCCTCTCATAACAGCACATTCTCACTGCATTAAATTACCCTGAATGAATACTTTACGACATGAGGGGATCCATTCATATCAAGGCGCTGGTAATGGCACCAGGTCAACAGCTAACAGATGGTACTGGTCTAATAAGCTCCATTACAAAGCCTCATAGTGTGGATATTGATAAATAAACAGAGCACAAAGGATACATTGATTTTAAGTAGTATTGACGCTAGAAAAATTAAGCTATAGCAAAGAATAGTGAATGATCTTATATTGACCTTGAACTGTTTATTGATGCTTTGCAGTGACGTCGTGCTGGGGGTGTTCTATAATGCATTTCTATTGGTGAATGTTCAGCAATTTTCATGGACAAAACTGTTTTAAAATCGTCGAAAAAAAATAAGTGTATAACATTATCTAAGTCTCACGATATGATATAGTCACGGTATGAACCTCACGGTATGATATCTATTGCTATATTTTGTGGCGACTAACAAAACTGTTAACATGCTACTTTTTCCCCTTAAAATGCATTGACAAGACTTAATCCAAAGAACTAAGACTTAAAAGTGCTTAGAAGTGTTATTTCTTCTTGTAGTCTACACTGAAATGGAGCAAAGGATCATGGTCTATGTAGTTCCCTCTGTCTTTTTTAGCTATTGCTGCACCATAACTCTTAATTTAAGCAAAGAGACTTGTAATTCAATATATTGTGATGGTCCACCATATTATTTAGAACTGTGACACATGATATCACAATATTTTGGCTATTGTTACATCCCTAAAACTTTCTAAATGGATTTAAACAACACATTTTCAGGAGCCTATGATCAATACGAGATTTCAAGGGCCTATTTAGGTGTTTGATTTTCAACAAAAAGGTGAGAGTGACCAACTGAAAAACTGTAGGTTGATGCTAGCTAGTTTGTGACAGTAATGTGTTATGTGAGACTTGTTTAAGAGCACAGATCATCTCATCTGTTGTAGTTCCAACCAAATCAGCTTTATGATCAGACTGTGTTAAAACAAAGGTCAGATTAAAGTCTAACTTGAGAAACAGACCTTCTAACAGAATAGTACTTTCAGTTAGCTTCACACAGTCAGGGAATGATGATGACATTAGCTGCGAAGTATCAATATTGATGACTACATAACAGTAACAACTAAAGTTCAATGTATAACAATATGAGGACAAGTGTACAATCATAACCATGTGTCAGTATAGGTTTGTCAATGGAATCCCACAGTAATAGTGGCATAATGATGACCTGACTAGGCATTTGTAGAGCCAACAATAGCGTAGTGGGTGGTTATTGTACAATAAAATGAAAAAAAAAACAAAAACTAAAATCTAACTACTAAATAACTACAGGTTGACATCTTGTCAGAAATAAAGAAGAATAAGGAAAAACTTTGTAATATTTCTAGTGAAGATTAAACTTGTTAATCTCCATGGACACAATCGGGTGACACCACCAGGGCAATTTACAGGCCAAATGTATGCAGAGGTGACCCTCCTCACAGTAAGAATGCACTTTTTTCAAGGTATTTTTGAGCAATAATTGAATAAATGCAATATAAGTCTATGCTCTACAAGAGAACACTACAAAGAGAACAATGACATCTCCATGAAGACAAGCTGACAGTCATCCCCACCAGAAAAGTTACGCAGTGCACCTTTAACTTTTGCCAATTCAGAATGATGGTCATGGAATAGTTGCTGTGCCTTTATACCACAGATCTTTTATGCAGATTGTGAATACGAACACCCAGTCAGCGCTCTTTTTGGACACCTTGGTGAGAATTTTGTGGCCGGTCAATTACAACTTCAGATCAATGGAGGTTTTCTCAGATGTCTGGAGCCCCATTTGTCTCCATATAAAGAGGGGGATTGTCTCTCACAGTGTGTGGCTAAAGGTAATCCCTGGCTGTAAAGAGAAAGAATAATTAAAAGGTTAAGTGCTGATCATTTTTCGCTGCAATCACCCGCAGAGCTTTAAACTCCCGCCGGCGGCTCACAGCTCTAATTTGCCCAAAATGTCAATAGGAAAATGTCAGGGAATAGGTCAAACAGGACTGTGCTGGGAGTGCAGCCTGAACCAGAGCAGCTCACACCAAAGAGAGACTCGGACACATTAGCATGCTAAGAGCTCCTGTGGGGCATTGACTTTACAGTGAGCAGTGGACACAGCACATTCATTCATATATCGGTGATTAAAAGAACCTTCAGGGAATCAGATATCACATTACCATTAATTATAGTGGGAATAACTCAAGGAAGTTAAGTGCAGCAACTTTTATAGCAATGGTAAAGGATGTTCTTAGAGATGTGATTATTTCTATGCATTTTTAGATGCTGCTGGATCCTGTATTCCTAACTTAGCCAGTCTTATTCAAAACACAACTCAGAATAAGTTTATATGCCCTGTCTTAGAATAAGGAAACAGAGGTAGTATGGTCGGAAGAGGAGGAGAAATGGAGAGAAGCAGATGAGGTTTGGAAATTCAATACTGCTGAGGAATCCATAAAACAAAGACTATAAAAAGTAAAGTAGCGAAGAGGTGAGGTGCTGCTTGATACTAAAGAAGAACATCAATTTTAAAGATGAAATAGTTGATAAGGCACAAACCGTCTACACATGAGGGTGCAGCTCTGGTCGTGCCGGCCACTTGCCCAGGGAAACAGGAACACTTGACAGTTTGTGAGCGTTCCTCGATCTTGTTTTTGTTGCAGCAGCGATGCAGCGCCACCACTTCACATGTCCCTGTCCGGACCTGATGTGTTGCTGTGGAGAGAGATAGATCACATAAGTGAAAATAGAATTTAAGTGAAAATAGTTTTGTTTTTTTTTGTTTTTTTTTTAAACAATACAATACAATAACAACAACAGACATAATCTAGTGCCATAAGAGTTTATGAAGAAAAAATACCACAAGATTGTGTACACATGAGAAACAATATTTTGTGAAAAATTTTTCACCATATAATTGGACAAAAAGTGGTTCGGTGCTGGTAATATACACTTACTTTAGAAAATGTAGTTTCAAAAAGCAATGCTACAATAACAGCAAATATTACATTAAGTAAATAAAAAAACGGTGAGGCCAAAATTGTGAAAGGGAACAAAATCCCTCTCATCCCTATTTTACAATACCAGGCCCATTTAGAAAGGAGACTAGATCCCCATAGTCAAAAAAACAAAACAAAACAAAACAAAACTGGACTATATATCAGCATAGCTACATTAAACTGTTGCTCATTGTATGATCATAAACTTATAAAAGAGATGACACTGGTCAAAAATATAGGCAGTAAGTGACATTTATACACTACACATTGCATGAGACTGAATTATTCAAATAAAAATAATTTGTACCACTATAGTCTTAACAAAATTTATGGGGTACCCTGTATGTTATGTATAATCAACTCCAAGTTCAAACCGACTGCCAATAGTTATGGCAGAGTCACCCTTATGATTACAGTGTCTTTAGTAATGGGGTACTTAGAGATACTTGGCTTTGAAAAGTATTGCATCTTTTACCACTATACCTAATGTGAGGATGACCCTCTCAGTCAGTCCATGATTATATACACACTCAGATGATCACATAAATTAACCTTGACTTGAGAAGGTTTATAACATGAAGTTTTTATGTTAGAACAGCTTGAACCTCCAACTGCCAGACCTTTTAATGTTCAAACTGAGCATGTGACTAAATAGAAAGAAAATTTGCAGAGGAAGTTTCATCATCACCACTGCCATCTGACACCATCAAGAGTCAATGTCACTTTGGAAGTTGAAAGAGAGGCGCCCACAATGTCACAGTCTGAGTTCACAAGTATTAAGACACTCTTTTTTTCTCTCTGAGAAGCCTGTTTGAAATTCATTATTTAGAACAATAAAGTGCATGATAATAATACTGATCTTTGAAAGGCGTTTCACTTACAGTAAACAATGTATTATGTATTGTTTTTGTTTTTTTTAATTAACCAGGACCATTAAACATCGACAGTATGTTCCATATCCTAATGGCCAGATGCCATGTCAGTGGACTGGGTTGTTGAGGCCTGCCTTCGACCACCAACTGGAGGAAGTGTGTGTGGAAAGGGAAGTCTGGGGCCCCCTGCTCTGCAACCTGGTCCTGAATAAGTTGTAAGAAAATGGATGGATACATAGCTACTTTTTATCCATCCTTGCCATCCTTGAAAAGATATATCAGCAAATATTTTCATATTTCAATTCAAATAAAAGGTCTCTGTGCAATAAAAATATGAAATAAACCATTTATTTCATAGAGTGATTGAGTAGATATGGGTAATAAACTGAAGTGAATTTACACAGTGATGCTCAATACAGAAATGAGTGACATAATTTGAGAGAAACAGAGCAAGTCTATTGGGGCTCAGAAAAGGAGGAGGAGACAACATTGTAGATACAGACATAAAATTTAAGTCTGCATCCAGTGCATGCTCATCAATATAATAAAAAATATAAAATAAAAAATGCGTCCATATACAATTCAGTGGCTGTAGAAAATAAATATATACAGTATATTTACATATACTTTCTCCAAGCAACAAATGAATCCTTCAGGTAAATGAAGAGGCCACTACATCCACCATTAAACAAGTCCATGAGGCTCTGTTTATAATTAATGTGCATTATAAATGTAATTTATAATAAATGCAATTTTGTAATGTAATGTAATTAAATAAATGTAATTAAAATGGATACACTAAATATGGGTAATACACAAGCACTATAGAGCCTGGCATTGATTTTTACTAGATTTGATATAATTCACAGAACAGTTTAAGTAGAGTGCTGCAATACTCAGAACCAGTTTGCAGATTACACCCCATTGTCTGAATTATTTAAAGCCTGCGCCGCTCCATCTTTGTTTTAATTGCATGTGACATTTCGGTGATGCGTCTTTCTGCACAGAGACTCTCCACAGCTGAAGTAAACAGTAAATTTAAAGTGACTGGAGTAGATCTGCTTGCAACTGTCTGTGTACAGTGAAGCGAATGGGCTGGATTCTGTTAATTAGCTTTTCACTTGGGTGCTATGTAATGGTGGATGGCACACTGATGGTAAGTCTATGAAGGCAGGGTGATATTAAAACTGACAAAGACGTACAGCAACGTGAGATCCTCTGGGAAATGGTGGCTATTTTGAAGGTAAATATGATTAAATTGGCTTGGGATAGAAATTAACTCCTATCCCATAACCTTATTAAGGCGAGTCCTATATGTAACTTCCCTAGAGAAAGGTCTGTCACTTGCTCTTTTCCAAGGATCCAAGGACATGTTATTGCTTTCCATGGAATGTTCCACAATCTGGCATTTAACTTATCCATGGAGACAAACAAGTGACAACACCAGGCCATCTTACTAGTTAGGTCTGTAAGGTGCACTGTGCAACTTAACTACTTTTCAGCTTGTCTTCATGATGATGTTATTGTTTTGCATTGGAGGTTCCACAATATGGCATTAAACAAATATATCTTGTATTTATTCAATCATCATCTTCATAGCTACCATAAAACATGCATTATTACCATGAGCGGGCCCTCTCCTCCACAGATCTGATTTGTAATGAGGTGATGTGGTCTGTTTGTCTCCATGGAGCTAGTTAAATTAAATGCCATACTATAGAATATTCCAGGAAAAAACAATAACATCTACAGAGCAGTGACTGAATCTGAACCAAGCCCAATAGGTATTAAGATATTTGTGTCTGAGCCTGACTGAGCCTGACACAATTAAAATCACACTATTTTCATAGACCTATTGACACATGTAGGATATTGTTTGTGTGGAAAATCTGATTTTATCAACCAACTGAAAAAAAGGCATTCAGAACATCAACACAGATGAGCGGAGTGCATCAGTGCACGCACACGGACCAACAAGTGCATGTTGGCCGGGCCCAGTCTTGTCTTATTGTGCTGATGTGTCCGAGTCCGGCCCGAGCCTGCGGGGATCCGATGGGTCCCATCAGACAGATTCCAAGCTCTAATCTACATGGAGTCAAGCAGGGGAGGACCCTCTACAAAGAAAAAGTAAAAATAAAAACTATGCAATGCACTTTAAGCTATTTAAGCTTTAAAGAGTCTATAATAGAATAAATTATTTAAATAAGAAAAAGGGTAAATCAAAATATATTTGATTGGATAACTGAATAAAAGCTGCTTTATTTTATATTTTTATCCTTTTGATTATACGTTCAATTTACTAGTTGTGAGTTGTAAACACAGCTGTTGTAAAACTATGATATATAAAACAAATGTTTAGTTGATTAATCTTTTTTCTGTCCAAATTTCAGCTTAACTAAACAAAGATCATTTAACATGATGGAGTAGGGCCATCACATTATTTGCAGATACCAGTAACCTTCAAAACAATACACATATTTTGTCTCAAGAGCTTTTTTTGGCATAACTTTTCAACATTATTACCTGCTATAATTAATTTTGAGGTCACATTAGTCTTCTGCTTTATGAGGTCAATCCATGTTTGCACATTTAGGCTGTTTTATTGGCTACATAATAGACCAGTAACCTTTCTACTAATGTACAGTTCATCATGCTAATTCCCATTCTAGTCTATTCCCCACTGCTGTATACATCACACAGTAATCCACGGTTTTAACAGTAATTGAAATTGTTGACAAAAGCAAAACAACAGAAACACAAGCTCACTCATCTTCTGTTAGCTGCTCTAGTTCTTCCTCTTACATCAAAACCATCCAGGAAGTCACCCAAAAGATTCAAGCTGCTTACGCATCTCCTGCCTCCGTACACAGGCGATATGAAAGGCAAACACTAAACCAGGGCTGGCTCACAAGAACTGCCAGCCTCTCCCCACGGACCGCCTCTTGGGTTTCTGACTGGATTTGGGACTTGGATGCCGATTCAGCCTTCTACTGCCAGAAAAATAGAGAGGAAAGCATTTCTCTTGGGAAGCAGTCAGTCCGGCAAACTAACAGTGATCCTTCACAAGAACAGGCCGCTGCTGCCAGAGTTCTCTGTAGGGTAGAGGGGTTTTTAGGTTTTAGTTTTCAGTTTTAGGTGAAGTGTGGTGCCAAGAGATAAAGATGAATGGACTAAATTGTGCTAGAAACATGAAATATATTTGACTTCAACTAAAATGCATTTGATCAGATATTCCTACACAAGATGGTGACAACTAGGTTAGAACCTTGTCTTTATTAAATCTGTGAAATGCTCATTGGGATTACAAGACTACTTTATCAATTAGTAGAGCAATATAGAGCAGTGTAGACAAAGGGACAAAGGTTGTATGTAACAGAACCAGCATTCTAGAGCTAAGTTTCTTTTTTTTTTTTCCTTGGAAAGTCTATCCATATCAACCACAAAACGGTCAACAAGGCTGCGCACTATAGATCACTTATGGAGAATATGACCACTTATCACACCCTATTTCTTCATAACTTGATTAAATAAGCACTAATGTCCTGCATTCATGGCTACAGTTGCCATGGCAGTAGATATAAAGAGTGGACTAAACACTAAATTCATCTTGCTTTGAAACTAGAACTACGCCTGTCATGATAGCAAATTTTGAAGCACAATATGCTACAGAGGAATATAATGATAAATGATAATACTGAAACTACCTTATGCCTCTGACACAAAGCAGGATAATCCCAGTAACCCAATCTTAAATATACAGTATCATTAAAAGACCTGAGATGCAACAGCATTAACCAATAATTAGCCATAGAAGTTAATTATTCAGTCCTCTACAGCTGAAATC